CCCCACCCCCACCCCCACCCCCCACTCCCACCTGGCCATTCTAAAGATGTGTTATACATACAGTCAGGCATCCCCAGCTGAGGCAAATGCTGCCACCCCCACCCCCCTCCACACCCTTAGTGTGGTCAGTGATTAATTTGGATTTAAAAAAAAACAACATTTGTTGAAATAGTGCTGCAATCTCAGAGATAGGTTGATATGTATTATCAACATTGCTTTGGCTCTGGTACTACTATGAAATTGATTTATTTTCTGTTTGTTCTTTGGACTATGACATCATTATATGTCTATAGTTGTAACTTTTTGTACATTTATCATTCTAAAACACAAATCTTTGTAAAATGGTGATAATTCACAAATATTCTGATATAAATCAATATGATAAGGAGTTAAATGAAAAATTGAAAATTGAATGTTTCCATTTATAATCTACATGTTAATCTATTTCACTGTATTTCAGGCAATATTACTGTTGTTCCTATTCTGAAGACAATTGGTCTAGGATTGGGCATCTTGATTTGGGGAACTTTTAACTTATTATCAGGCTGGGCAAGTGGAAGGTGGGTAGACTAATTGAAAAAAATATTCCTCAAATCTTTTGTTAGTCATACCTAAAAATGCCCAACTGAAAAGGCTGAAAAGAGATTTGAAATATGCTAGAAAGTGAAAAATAAATATCAGAATAAGTCTGTGAGAAATTAAGACAGTATTTTGACCCTTAACTGACCACTGAAGGGCTGCAACACACAAAAGTTTGCCCAGAATCATGAATGGCCACCATAGCTTGAAGTTCATGAATGCAGAATATTAGTATACATATAATTTATTTATTTGAAAACTTTGTTATTGTGTTTTTCTTCAGGTTTGGATGGTTTGGTATTCATCCTGAGCTGCCCACTGATGTACTTCTCAATGACCTTGGAGTGACCTTGGCTGCATTGAGGTTAGTGATATTTGATTCATGATGGACAGCACTTAAATTTCAGTCAAAAAGAGATGGGCCAACTTTTGATAGATCTTTCTGCTGTAAATCTTTGGTTTAAATTTTTTTATTAACAGTAAGATTCTATTGAATCATGCATGGTTACCATTTCATTGAATTTTCTGGCAGTAGCATCTTTTACCCTGCATATATTTTTACATCATCACATCCAGTTTTAAAAAATAAGCACTTACACATATATTAATAACTCTTGAAGAAAAAAGGAGAGAATGAAAATTTCCAAAAGATTTCTGGAGGTAAAGAAGATGCACATGGGATGGCTTGTACAGAAATTTTAGAAATTTTATACCATTAATTTTCTACAAAACATGTTTATCAGTTGGAGGTTAAAGTGGGATTTATTTAAGACATACTTCAAAGCATGGAGATTTTCAGACTCATGTAAACTTGTTATGCCTATATTATAATTGAATTTCTTATTGTAATTGTGAGCATGACAGAAAGTAAGAAAAATGATGATTAATTCTATAAAGTTTCAGTAGTTGATGTTAAGTCATCATTTATAGCAGTGAGAAACAGCACATTTGACAATGCTAAGTGCCCTAAATGATTTTTAAGTCCTTTCATATACTTGCCACATTTTGTTTTCTTACCATTTTTAAAAAGCTCGGCACCATGTGCTTTTGATTGTTTAGTGCCTTATTCTGGATCATCGTGAAAAGTGAAGTGACCGAAACCTCTCACCAAGATGTTGATTCACCAAATGAGCGTGAGAATGACCCCCTTTTACCTCCTAAATATGTGAGTGCCCTCCCCTGGACTACTGCTGTGTGATGGCAAACTGGTGGAGAACCACAGGGGTGTCACTACGTCTGCTACATGATGGATCTGGTGTATTACTCCTTTCTCTCTCTTTGTGGCACAAAATTACTACTACTACTCAAAAAATAATTCCATGTTAGATGAAATTTAAAGGAAAGAAATAAAGAGAGAAAGGGGTCTAGCCATGAGTATGCAGATTTGTGATATTTTGCTTACAATAGTGCCAGCCATGTTCACTTGCTCTTCAATCTAATTGTCTTTTAGTCTTTTTCCAAGATTTATGCATTTAATGTCTTGATATCCTGATGTACAGGCTTTCAGATATCAAATAAAATAATGGTAATACAGTAGACAGGGGTTATGTTTCACCGGGCAATTGGTTGAAATGGGAATTAAGATAAAAGAAATATATGAAGATGAAAAGAAAAGCACTTTCAGATATTGACATCTTATATTTGCATGTTATCTTTGAAAAAGACTGTATCCTTTCCCAGCTTCGTTTCCTTTGTGCCACCTGATCCTGATTTAATTATACCTAGTTAGTTTTTATTATCTTTTTCTCTTTGTGTATTCAGAGGTTTGTTCTTCATGTTAGTAAAGAGCGAGGTGAGCGCTGAGGAGGCGATATCACTCTCAGACAATACTACAGACATTGAAAAAGAAGCTCTAACATTTCGTGATCCCAATATGAAAGCTGACTCACCGCACTCTGATACTAACCACTCAATTCCTAAGGTACAAACTCTGACTCTTCAATTAATTTTGCTAATTAAAATCGAAATAAATGAATATAACAATTAAATTTTACTTCATGGAGTGTCCCCTTTTTTCAAGTTTATTAAAACTAAATTAACTACTAAATGACATTTGAATGTTAAAAAATGGGAAATTTACAGGATGGAGGGGGTGTCCTCTACTAACTTTTTCTGTTACTGCTTTAGAATAGTAAATTTCATTCTGAAAGGTTTTGGATATTAATTGAAATTGATTTTCATTTATTCATTAACTGTTTTTCATTTCAAGGCTTAGTTTCATCATGAGATGATTATGTTGAAAAATCTTTCAGTTTGATTTTTTCTTGCACTGATGCATATTTGTATGACCTTGTATATTGTAATATTCTATAATTGATACACGTAGATTACTATAACCATATTGGAAAAAAGGTTTTTAAGTTTTGGCTGTTTATAACTTTTTAGTACTTACATATTGATAAATAATTTAACTTGAAATTATTAACCTCTGGATGTTCTACTAACTTAGATTTTTAGAAGCATCTTACGTCAAGATAATTAGATAAAAGTATCGAAGAGTAACATCGCTGTTTTGTTAATTGTTAGCATTGCCCATTCACAAGATGTTTAAAGATTTGTTGTGGATTCAATTTATTGATTATGGGAGAGTAAAATAAAGAAAATGAAAGATCAAAGTGTAGAAAATTTGAAAGTAACAAATAGCACTGTGGTTTTGAAAATCGTGTAAAGTAAGACACCTGATAGGTAAGGTGTTACAAAAATGAATTTTAGTGTCACTAATAATTAAATATTTCGATATTTTTTCAGACTCCTGCCAATATAAACTATGGAAGTGCACGGGAATTTAATGAAATTGAGATTCTGGATAGAAGTCAAAATGAAACATTTATTGATAGAATGACGCCCATCCAGAAGAAAATAATGTGAGTAAAAAGCATACACAATTACCTCTTTCAAACATACTGCATCTCTTATAAACTTTGAAGGATTTTTTATAGGGATAATGTCAAATAGAAGGCAAGGAAAAGTTCAGTTGAGTGTTACATTTTATTATGCAAAAATGTCATGCAAAACAAACTCATCTTTTTTACAATTTCTTTAAATTTCAACTTTAACAATATTGCTGGGTGTTTTTAAACTTCATTTCTTGCGCAAATTTGCGTAAATTTTATTTGACCTTTGACCTTTCCAGGGGTACATCAATGGCCGTGGTAGCAGGAGTATTTTATGGGTTATCTTTTACTCCGGATATTTTCATCCAGGACCATGCCAACACAACTACTAACCACACTTCTTTTTACCCTGGAGCTAGTGAGAATGGTGAGCTTTTTATGTTTGGATATATTATTATGTTAAAAAAAACTGATTTTCATTCATCTAAGATTTCTCTGTGAATGAGATTTCAAGAGAGTGACAGATGAGGTAGATGCAAGTTATGAATTTACTGTTTGAAATCTTTAACAAAAACAACTGTTACAACAAAAAAATTTCCATGACATTTACTTTACATATATAGGATTTGAAAATAAGCTTATTCCTATATTTCTGGTTTGAAAATAAGGTTATTCTAATGGCATTTAAGCTTTTATATGAAGAAAAGCTACATAATATTAACCATTTCTTTCCTTTCCTCCAGGTTTGGACTATGTGTTTGGTCAATTCAGTGGAATCTATGCCACAAGCACCTTGTATTTTATCATCTACTGTATTGTAATGAAGAACAAACCGCGAGTGTACCCCCGCGCCATTCTGCCGGCCCTGGCCTCCGGGACAATGTGGGGAGTGGCATGCTCTTGTTGGTTTGTGGCCAATAAGTCACTGTCAGAACCCGTCAGCTTTCCTATTATTACAACTGTAAGTTTAAGTGGAACTGTGACTGACATCTGCTTTGGAAATATTTTACTTTTGAGCTACTTGGTGTATAGCAATTTTTTTTTTCAATTTCCTTTTTTATTTTCACAAGGGAAATACAGTGTTTGTAAAACTATAATGACTTTTCACTAACACGTTGCTACCTGATTCCTCTCCTTCATTACATTAGTTTCCAAGTTATCAATCGGTATTACCTGTTGTGCATAATTAAAATTTGATGTTGGCTTTGCATTTAAGTATAATGTATTATTGCATCAGAATTGACAGTATCCTATTTTGTGCATTATTATTTTCTGCTTTTTGTCTGTACATTTGACAGTTTTGCTGCCTTGTTATTTTCTTCATATTAAACACTGTGAGACAACACTGTTAACATGCTACTCTCCTCATCAGGGTCCTGGTCTGATAGCAGCATTATGGGGGATAGTAGTGTTCAGAGAAGTGAAGGTGAGTCCCATAGGGTAGGAGATTGCTTCTCTGGACCAGAGAGAAGGTTTTATCATGAAGGTTTTCAATAATATTTCCCTGGCTGTTCACTAGATCAGCACGTTCCCTGTGTTGACAACAAGAAAAGTAGAATTAAATTTAATAATGTAGTGATTAGTGACTTTAATGAAAAAACACATTAATGTGTATCATCATCATCATCATCATTTAGAGCCTATAGTGTTCCACTGTTGGACAAAGGCCTCAGCATGCTTTTTCCATTGTTTCCTATCCTGAGCCTCAGATTTCCACCCTGAGCTTCAGAGATAACTTGACACTAACCTCTTCACTATAGCCTATCTTCATCGTGTCAAGTTACCTCTGACCACATTCGATTGCTTCCGCCGCCTGCCAATCAAATTTAAAGCCCGCACTCAATGACTCATTGAACGATCTAGCCAATGAACGCGAACGAGTCAAAGCTCGCTTTGTTCAAATCCGGACCAATCAAAGATAAGGCTGAATATCAGGGACTTGCCGTAACCTGTGGGCAGCACGCAAAATACATCATCCCTCAGTAGATAATTATGCAGGGCATCAAACTGCTCTGGTTTCAATTCCGATATACTCCATGCTTTCTTTGTGTACGGTTATGCACTCGGAACTACTCGGATGTCTCCGCACTCGACAATAACTATGTTGTTAGTATGGAGCTTGCGGAATCAGCCGAGGATTGCCGATTGACGGTCAACCAATCAGCGTTTTCACCAAACTTTGGTGAAAAATTTTGAAACATGGATTCGATTGGCTTATATAAACTAGGTCAAACTATTTTCGTCAGAGGTAACTTGACACGATGAAGATAGGCTATAGTGAAGAGGTTAGTGTCAAGTTATCTCTGAAGCTCAGGGTGCAGATTTCCTGTTTGGCCAAGGTTTCTTCTTCAACTTGTAATTAAACCTAATGTGCATGTGTCTGCCAAAATGTGTGTAATTGGTAAATGAAATTAATATATATCACAACTTGTAATTATAAATTTGATTATTATTGAAATTTATTTTTCAAACTTTACTCTGTTTTTTTACAGATGATGAGCCGCTACCAGATAGAAATTGGAGGAACTCAAATCAATTTTCCCAGAAATTTCATCATCGTGTCTCTAGCCTTTGCCGTTACGATAGCAGGAGCAATATTGTCAGCTTTCTCTAAAGCTTAGGACATTTACGTAATATTTTCACTAACAGAAGTTTGATGTGCAATGTCACTGTCATGAAAACTGAGGGTGTGGGTTGTTTTGAATTATTAGAAGTTTCTTTATCATTGCTAACAGAACAAAGAGATGTGTGTAGTAACTGAATTCATGACCATTGTCCATATGACAAAGATACCACTACTTCCATATTACTCTAGAAATAATTTAATTACTTCAAATGTTTCATGTAGCACTGCATTACTTGAAAATTTATCTGTGTATTATTCACAAACAGACCATCTGACCTGAACCTATTTACTTTTAGGATCTTAGAAATCCCTTTTTCCCAATATCTCTTACAAACTATTGTTTTGGGAACATACAATAAAGAAGTTCACATATAGTGAGAAGGGGACAGCTTTGGTCATATGGCAGCATACTTTATAAAACGCTAGTCATTCCATGGTTGAATTCAAATACTCTCTTGTAGGGGAGCAGTTTTTTATGGTAATATTTTATTTAGCACATTTTTATTAAAAAAAAAAAAGAAACTTTTACTGGCTCTAAATGTTATCCATGATAGGATCCATTCCTCTACATACATTGTAAGGTTATATTAGTTGAATGATAATATATTGCTGTGGTCACAATTTTTAAAACTGTCTGACCTCTTTTTTATGCCATGTCACTCTGTTTTTGGAGGTAAAGAAATCTATAGTGGCTTAAAGATAAAGAATGTATTTGAAATGAATTAAAGGGTCATATAATTCTTTATTCAGAAGATTGCATTGGGATAAAGCACCAGTGTAACTGTTATTTTTACTGTGGAGTGGGGGGATTTTCATAAGAATTGTTAAAATACAACAAATCTGTCTATTATTTGTCAAATTTTGTGAAACAAGGAAATATAAAGAGAAAAAAACAATTTTTATTATAAGGGAAATGTTAATTGAGCCATTTATAGTTATCTTTGATCATCTGTGATAAAGGTCATTTTGTCTTTTGAAAAGTGCAGCAGTTGCTATTGTACTATTTCAGATATAAATGTGATTATTGCTATTGTTGGCAGACTGTATAAAATATTTTAGCATCAAATTTCCAGAAAAATCATATCATTTAAAACTTTGCTTGTTTGTATTAAGAGTATGATTATTTACCTGTTCAGGATTTACATTGAGTACTATCTGTGAAATATTAAAATATTTTATAACAGTAAAATAAAACTAAAAAATATAAATCTCTTACTAATGATGTAGTTTTTGTTGAGAAAAATGTTCCAATCATCTCAAGTAAGATATTAAGTAAAGTGTCACCCTTGCCCTTGATACAGTGTCCCTGCTGTTATCTTCCTGAACACGTAGTAACAGGCTGGTGGGTGTAACTCTGCACACGTTATGATGAAAGCCACAGACAAAGTAGAGGTAATGCATCTCTGTGTGTGTGTGTCAGTGAGCTCAGTGCCATGGATCTAAGCTTAAGGTGCTGGCCCATTGTTTGATTTGGTTTACAATAGAACAGAAAACATGGGGAAGGTCCCCAGTGGTTTGGGGGGCACTGCAGAGTGGCATAATCTGCTTAAAGAAACTTGAATTTGTATGCAGCAGGTTCAACAAGGGTCCTAACTGGATTATTTGACTTTGACATATCTTATGTAAGTGTAAAAGAAGTTTGAAAACCCCATAACTTCTTAGAAGGTGACCAAGTTTTGTAACTGGAACGTCTGATCACAAGATGCCAATATGTTGTCTTTTTGTTAATGATTAACATCTTATATATATAAAGATTATTAGATTGTTAGGGGGTTCATACTTACAGAGAGAGGGAGAGGTAAATTGAATTATTTGATTAAGTTTCAATTTTGCTATATTTTGATTGGTAAACCAACTTTCTTCATTAGGTCTGCTATGTTTATTTTTCCTTGAATGTTGAATAGATTTAAAGTTCTACCATTTTTGTCTTTCAGCAGTCAGTGTAAGTGTGTTTGTGTACATCAAAAGAGGGTCATATCTTTCTTCTTCTATTTCATTATCTCTAAATACCCCAGAAGACTTACACTGTTATCAAGATACATCTATGATATATAAAACAATGTCAACATCAGCAGTAGCAACTATGATTGATCATATGACAACATCAGAAGCAACAACAGGTACAACAATCCTTGAGATGACAACATCAGCAGTAACAATGTTTGATCATATGACAACATCAGACGCAACAACAGGTACAACAGTCCTAGAGATGACAACATCAGCAGTATCAACAATGTTTGATAATATGACAACATCAGAAGCAACAACAGGTACGACAATTTTTGAGATGACAACAAGCCTGCCCCCTGGTGATGTATATCCTGAATATGTCGGCTTTATTTGTGCAGTTGGGAGCGTTCTTATTTTTGGAAGTGCATTTGTGCCAACAAAAAAATTTGAAATGGGTGATGGTGAGTGAACTCTTTATATTTTGTTATGTATTGTGCACTTTGTTACACATAATTGATCTCAGTCGATAATCTTGATTGAAACTATAATTTTAGAGTATCAATTGTTTCCTTTTTTATTAATTTTTTCCTTAAAAAAAGAAAATAAATTGTAAGGTAGAGGAAATTTTAATCATTAATGTCTCACTGTTAAGCCAACTTATAGATTCCTTTCAACTTAAAGGGATAAAAACTCTTCGTATGAAATCTGTATTTCACAATAAAAACATTGTGAATGACTCATGAAAATATAATATATCCTGTTTTCCCACAAAAACGGCTGTTATAGCTATTATTCTGATATCTGAGCTTGTCTTTAGACCACGTGACCTCCATTGATGGCTATACTCTGTTAAAATCTCTTAAGAGATTTTAACAAAAAACCAAACTTTTTAGAAAAAAACCAGGGACTAACTTTGAATGTAAAAATGGATTCATTTACCATTGGTCAGTATGGGAAAATTGTTGTTTACTCCAGGAAAATTCATTTTTTGGCCAAAACGAAGAGTTATTATCACTTTAACTGTCTTAAATTGTAGTCATTAAACCTATTAACATGTTTGTTTCTTTCAGATCCTTTTTTTTTTTTTTTTTTTTTTTTTATGAGGCATCTCTGACAGCATTCTTTTGTGTTTTTCAATTTAAGATATATTCTTGAAATGTTGTGATGCAAAAAATTAAAAAGAAATAGGATCATGTACAATCAAGCCAGAGTTTAACCAAATATGTGTGTCCAAGAAATGATCCGTTTATGACTTCAGGTGTGTTTTACCAATGGGTGTTATGTGGCGCCATCTGGTGTGTGGGGCTGGTGGTTAACATCGTCAGAGGGTTCCCAACTTTTTACCCACTTGCAATGCTTGGAGGATTTATATGGTGTACAGGTATATCTGTTCTTTTTTTTTTCGATTAATAAAAAAAGTAATATTAACAGATTTAGTTATTTTATAAACTAAAACAGATATAAAGCCAAATCTTACCGTTTTACATTATTTTTCTCTGAGACAGTATATTATCCATCTTAATCAGAAAATTCATGTGTTCTCATGCTGTCAAACCTGTATGCAAAGTCTAAGATTTACTGAATTTTTTCCAGGTAACATCACAGTTGTTCCCATAGTTCAGACAGTTGGTCTTGGACTTGGAAGTCTGATCTGGGGAACATTTAACCTGCTGACAGGCTGGGCAAGTGGCAGGTGGGTTCCAGAAAACATTGTGATTGGCCTTATTTTTCGAGTGTGATGCGTTATTTGAGCCCAATATTCTGCATGAATTCAAATGTGATTCAGGAGTTCTTGGTGATTGGTGATTTACTTGAATATATATGTATTCCCTACCCTAAAAACTATTGTGAGAGTCAAAGTTTGCTTTCAAGATCCCACATTTTATATTGCACTTTTTACCACTCTTGTTGAAGAGTTACATTAGCCATGGATTAAGAGTTAGCTGCAGTTTTGATTTATATTGTAGTTCTATTTTTTAGTAAAATCTGTAATCCTTTTTTTAACCAATCCCATGTAAATTTACTGATTCCATGCATGTCTCTTTGTTGTTAACCTCAGAATTTTTCATATAAAAAATATTTTTACATATTTCATTTTCACATATATATCTGTTGTTAATGGCTTGACTAACAGTTTATCAAAGCAGTTCAGATTAATTTTTCTACCTGGCTATATGATGGCGTCTTCTGTTCATTTTTCTTACTCAGATACGGCTGGTTTGGCATCCAGGCGGAGCCACCGACTGATGTGCTGTTGAATGATTTAGGAATCACATTTGCTTCTATAAGGTTAAAATCTGTTGATAAAAAAATTAAATTTATTAATCCAGTCTAAATCAACATAAAATGGAAGTATTTTGGAGATCCATTTGTAAAGTTTTTATCTTTCCTTTTAAACATTATCATAATTCATGCAATGTCAGAGGTTTTCTTGGTTTCTTTTTCTTTACTATTTTACAGTGCCCTGTTTTGGATAATGGTGAAGGCAGAAGTAACAGAATCAACAGATATTTCTGATTCTCAGAGAATCCTCAAAGGGGAAGATGATAATGGCCCTATAATTTCTGTGAACAATGTAAGTTTGCAGTCTCCCTGTATTTGTATTCCTGTGCATGTGTGTGTGTGTGCTTTTATGTATTTTTGGTTTTTTTAAAAAGGATTTTTGTCTGTTGACCTTAAAATTAAGGTTAAATTGAGGATTGATTATAGAAAATAATGCAAATTTAAATGTATACCTACTGCTTTTGAAAATGCCCTAAAGAAATCGCTCTGCAAAGCTACTTATTTTTTTCAATCCAGACTTTAAATAAAATAAAACTCCTGAAAAAAAAACTGATTTTAAAATTAATTTATGATTTTAAGAACATTGATGGTGACAGCACACAAAATGTTCAGATTTTTCTGACACATGAAAAATCTGTATATAAAAATGATATAGTTGCAGATGTCTTGGTTTTGATTTAGCACTTTAGATAGTTTCAGAAGCTTCCCATTGTAATTACATAAAAATTGGCATATTTTGAGGCCAATCAGCCATATTTTGAGCCTGAAATTTATCACTTTGCCAAAACTTTCTGGTCATGTTGATGAAATTTAATTGAATATTAATTTTTTTCTCAGTATTTTAGAATGTAATTTGTCAAATCAGAGTTCATTTAAAAATGTGCAGTATTTATTAAGTGATCTGTTATTCTTTGTCTTTTAAAAGTCTTTTGGAGCCACCGTCAGAGAGAAGAGAGAGAAAACCTACATAGATGGAATGACTGTCATGCAGAAAAAGATTTTGTAAGAAAAAGACCAAATTACATATAAAATTTTTCTTATGTACGTTAAAGCATAATTGTAGATGATTTTACCAAAATATGTCTCTTTTTAATTTGTGCTGTGAAAACTTTCCTTATTTTCTTTATTTTCAGTGAAATTCTTTGGTCTTCTTATACATCCTGTAATATTTCAGAGTTGTGGATCATTATAATCCAGTGACTACATGTATATGGGGGCTCAGGTTTCAGAGGTGTTAGTGATAGTGTTTGTGTTCATTCTCTTTCAGTGGCACCTTGCTGTCATGTGGCTCAGGCTTCTGTTATGGGATTTCTTTTACTCCTTGCATCTACGTCATGAACAACTATCAGGGAGCCAGTCAGAATGGTAATTTTACGTTGCTATGGAAACAAAGTCATTTTGTCTGCTTATGTTAGTACTAATGATACTATTCATTAAAGACCAAAGAAAGTGGGAAGAAAAGAAAGAAAGGAAGAAAACAGATTCAAAAGTAGATAAATAAAGAAAGGGATGTTCCCAATAATATTAATCTTATTATACTTTCTAGGTCTGGATTACGTATTTGGTCACTTCAGTGGGATCCTGGCTACAAGCACCCTTTATTTCCTCATATATTGTGCAGCCAAGAAGAATCGTCCCAGTGTGTTCCCGCGGGCTATACTTCCTGGCATGGTCTCTGGGGCTATGTGGGCAGTGGCGTACTCCGGGTGGTTTGTGGCCAATGAGGCTCTCAGTGAACCTGTGGCATTCCCGATTATTTCAACCGTGAGTCAAAACTAGCCATCAACTTTGCTTGTGTAGTCACTATGGCCAAACCCAGAACAGTGGACTTTCTAGTCAAATATGGCGACCCACCAAAAAGCTTGCTGTCTGATCCGCTTATAGACACTGAACATGGGGAATTGTTCAAGGGGGCGGCCATATTTGACCCTCGGACTAGTAAGTCCACTGTTCTGATTGCTGCTTATGTGCCATGCATTTTGATAGAGTCCTCGTCATAGGGGATTCTCCATTTCCACTAAAACAAAATCTTGGTTTATGCTGTGCATACTTATATATATTAAACATGATCGGTCTTATCACATAAAAACCTTTCAAAATTAGGTTTCCTTTTCCATAGGAAACTAACTAATTATAAACTTGTGGTTTATATGTTTGTTTTTCTCCCAGGGGCCTGGTCTGGTGGCATCAATATGGGGGATAGTAGTGTTCAAAGAGGTCAAGGTCAGTGACAACATGGTGTATAATGATATATAGTTAAAGGGATAACAACTGTTCAATTTGTTAAAAAAAAAAACTGATTTTCTTAGGGAAAACAAGGATTTTCCCATAATTACCAATGGTTAATTCCAACAGTCAAAGTAAGTCCATGTTATTATTTTCTAAAAAGTTTGTTTTTTTAGAAATAATTTCTTACAAGACTATTTCAGAGGTATAACCATTCATGGTCTGACGGCAAACACAGTCTAGCATAAGTGCAATAACCACTGTTTTGGTGGTAAAATGGAATTTATTATATTTCTATGTTGTTTAAAATGAATTTATTGTGAAATATGGATCTCATATGAACAGCTGTTATTCTTTTAAAACATATGGTAGATTATTAAAAAAAAATCTTTTTCATCACCAACAATCTTCTTTTTAACTTGTGCTTGTATTTTAATAACTTCCTAATACAGATTATGTGAAAAGGAAAGGATTAAGACTCATGTCACCCTAAATGTGTGTGTGTGTATTTTTTTAAATTCTGCAGTAGCATAACAAAACACATTCTTGCTATATTTCTAAATTAATTTTATAAGTTTAATTACCCATTCTTTGTATCTTTCTTCCAGATGATGAGCCGATATGAGTTCATATTAGCAGGAAAACAGATTATATTTCCCAGAAACTTTATTACATTACTTTTAGCAATCGTTGTCACGGTAACTGGGGCAATACTTGCAGCATTTTCAAAAGCATAGTCTTCATACTTTAATTACCAACTAACTGGACCTTGTTATATTGATTTGGAATCATAGTGAACTTGAAGTTGTATAGCAGTTTGAGTTTTTTTTCATAACTTTTTCATTCCTACTTATTTTGTAACCAGAGAAATTATCAAGTTTGACAAATGAAATTTGTACAGAATTTATAACAGGGGGATAGAATTTATGGATCAGAGGGTAAATAAAATCTCATCTGGAGCAGGATAAACAGAGTATTGAACAGGAAAATATAAATTATGGATCAGAGGGTAAATGGCGCTCTTTTAGAGCAGAATGAACAAAGACTTTTATCACCTTCTTTCCAATTTTCAGGGAGGAGACTGCCATTTAGTAAAAAAAAAGTCAGAAAATATGACGTTGGGTACAGGGGGCCACCTAGGCCACTGATATTGTTGGCTCCCAAAAGTTGGAAAAGTCTCATCCCTGAAACAACTATGCCCTTCGTCAAATTTTCTGTGTGATTTTCCCTGTCAAATCATATTTTCCTCAAGAAAATATATTCTTCCACAAACAAATCCTTGTTCCACCAATCCCTGTCCTTGGATTTGATATTTTG